CTGAGAACTGCACATCTTTTGTTGGCTCAGGAAGATCTGAAGCTCAGGCCTCTGGCAAAGGGTTCTCTCCAGAGCAGTAACGTTTCCCTTTTTTCTTCTGCAGACCTCGGAGGACGAGCCTTCTGAGAAGGATGCCCTGCAGCCGGGTCGAAACATCGTGGCCGCGGGCTACGCGCTGTACGGAAGTGCCACCCTGGTGGCTCTTTCCACGGGGCAAGGAGTGGACCTCTTCATGCTCGACCCAGTAGGTGCCCAGTCTAGCAGCATCAGCACTGGGGACTCCGCCGGCCTCTGTGCCTTAATTCCTGTCCCCTGGGGTAATTTCTTGGTCATTCCTAATACTTGCTTTGGGGGCCAGAGAGTCTAGTTTGGGGATCCAACAGCATCATCTAAAAACATTTAAGGACCTCTGTCCAAGTGAGGGCACTTGAGGGGTCCTGCAGGATCAGCCATATCAACTTAGGCAATCCAGGGTGGATAAACAAGTGCATGACATTATTTAGACAACAGTTGTATGTCTCTCTGGATCTTTGCTGATAAGCAGAAGAGAAAAGGATCCTGGTTGAATTAAGTGAAGGATGTTACTGCGTTAATGGGAAAGACCCAGGCCCGGGGGCAGGGCCAGGCTGGTCTGGACACCGTCTGTGATGCGGTGTCTCTCGCTCAAGTTTCAAATGCCAGGGAGGAGCATTTAATTTGCCAAGCTGACTCAAGTGCCTGACCTTGGGCTAGAGGACACCCAGCTCAGAGCCATTCTAGACTGGCATCCAATGAGAAGATTTAATTATTCAAAGGAAGTGAGGGTGCTCTTAGGAAGTGGAACTCCATGCCGGGCTGCTCTGAAGCAACAAACGTGCAGAGCAGGTTTTAAAGCTCATGATCCTGAGACCATCAAGAACTTGCCCGTAACAAAAAGAAGTCGGGTTTACTCAGCGAGGGAGAGCGCCCTCTGGAGGAAGCGTGAGGCTTCGTGCTGAGTGGGAGCTGGCCTGGGCTTGTGTGTATAGCACGTGGGCTGGATGATTAAGGATTTGAGAAACAGAGGGTCAGTTCTAGACTGAGTGTTGTCCAGAAGTGGGTACAATTAACTATTGTGTATCTCAGTTTTATCTAGGAGGTGGGAAGATTAAAGTTGAGGGTAGAGATTCATTGGTAAGAGGCAGTCGTCACTCATGGGCAACAGAAGAAAGGAATGCTTGGTTTTTTGTTTTGTTTTGTTTTTGTTTTTGTTTTGGGGGGTTTGCTTTGTTGTTTTTACAGCTGAGTATCCTTGTTACTGTCATTTCAGACACAATCAGCGAGGCCTTGTCTCTTTATGGGAGTGTTGTCAACATTTGTTAAGAACCTTCTAGTTGTGAGCTGTCACCTTGGGGGATTTTTACTTTCTCAGTCTTCAAAGTTTAACGAAACCTGATTTGACTCCCAGGCCCTGATTTCCTTCCTGGTGACGTAGAGAGGCACCCAGGCTTTCAACATGAACCTGCAGCCTGCCGATGGCATCCGCAGGGAAGGTGCCACCGACACTCAGATGAGGTGGTGCCTGAGGGCTGTCCTGCACAGAGTGGCCACGGTGGCTGCAGGGGGACTGGGCACACTTTTATGAATAATTCTGAGGATTTAAAAGAAAACTTTATCAACTATACAGTTTCTGAACGAAGGGCTTTCCTCTTTGCCCCACGTAGGAGCAGCTGGGATACAAGGAACTCTGAATGGTTTTCATGATTGAGTCACTAAGATAAACACAATGACTGGACCACAGATCAGTGGTCGAACTGCATCCCCACTTATGGCAAATCCCATCTGTGTAACTTCCTCTCGCTGATGGCCCAAATCTTCCCGGAAACACTAGGAATTAACCCGGGATGAGAACTTGGGGGAGAGATACAGCCAGGTTCCTTATAAATGAGTAGCCATACTCAGTGCAAGTGACAAAGGAAACTTCTGCTGTTTTTCCTTTGAATTATTTTATCTCTTGTTGTATTACTGCTTGAGCTGCCTGTGCAGGCTCCATGTTGTCCCTGCCCTTTCTTTGTCTTTCTTTTTTTTTTTTTTAATTGATAACAAACTTTATTTTTGGAGCAGTTTTAGGTTTACAGAAAAATTGCAAAGATACTGTAGCATCTCCATAAACCTTAGTGTCCTATTATTAACGTCTTGCATTACTGTGGTACATGTATTACAGCTAATGAGCCAATATTCAGACGTTATTATTAACTGAAGTTCATACGTTATTCAATTACCTTCATTTTGTGTGTGTGTGTGTTTACTAGTAGAACATTTAAAATCAACTGTACTTCAATTAAAAAGCAACCAACCAAACAACGCATTTAAAATATGGGCAGAAGAACTAAACAGACATTTTTCCAAAAGAGGAAATGCAGGTGGCCAACAGGAACATGGAACGTTGCTCATTGTTACTAATATCAGGGAAATGCAAATCAGAATCACAATGAGCTATCATCTCACACCTGTCAGCATGGCCATCCTCAAAAAGAACACAAATAACGAATGTTGGCAGAGACGTGGAGAAAAGGGAACCCTTGTGCACTGTTGGTGGGAATGCAGATAGGAGCAGCCACCATGGAAAATAATATGGAGGTTTCTCAAAAACCCCAAACGCAACCACCACATGGCCCAGCAGATCCGTTCCTGGGCACATATCCGAGAAAAACAAAGCATCCATTCAAAAAGATACATACAATCCGCTATTAAACGTTGTCCCTGTCCTTCCTATAACTCCTAAAAACATCCCAGGCCGGGCTGCAGGAGGACCTGGCCAACCCCTGGGGGCTCCTCCAGCATCTTCTATGGTTCTCCGATGGTCGGGGGTGTGTGCTGTTGGCTCGTTTCCAGGGGTCTCTCTTCCTCCCGGTGTTTCTCTTCACCTTTCTAGGCTCTTGGTGAATTTATCCTGGTGGAAAAAGATGTCAAGATTAAAAAGAAAGGAAAGATTTACAGCCTCAATGAGGGCTACGCCAAGTATTTTGACGCCGCCACCACAGAATATGTGCAGAAAAAGAAGTTTCCCGAGGTGAGTGGCGGAAGCCGAAGGCAGGAGCAGGGGGAATGCTGTCCCAGTGGGCTCCTGCTGCAGGGACGGCTGTGGGGGCCTGGCTGAAAGGGGTGGGTGACCCTGTCTATGGCTTTGCCCCGTATGACAATGGCAGACCCTTTCACTAGCAATTGGTATCTTTCATACTTGAAATTTATCTCCTAAGGACCATACTCCCCAGTTGAGTTTTTCCGGGAGAAATTGTTAATGAAGAAGGCAGGGACCCATTTTTCAAAATCCAGAGTTTCAGGCCAGAGCCTCTGTGCTGTCACTTTTTTTGCTGAGTGACCACCTGTGTAGATTCTGGTCACTCAGTCGTGTTTAGGTGGAAAGTCTCGTTCATATGCTCTGATATCGGGGCCTGGTGTTCACTCCAAGTTTTAGGGAAGTCTTTAGCTCTCAATGTGATCACCGAGTCCTGGACTTCATGTGGCTGTTAATACAGACCGAACAATCCAGTCGGTATGTCTGCCAAACAAAGAGCGCTTTTAAGACAAGTGTGGGAACGGAGTCAAAGCATTTCCGGATCAGGAGTGTGAAGTCCGACCTGCAGTGGACGTGGGTGGAAGGGCAGTGGTGGGATGAGCCAGCCTGGCTGTCCCTGGATGCTCATCATGAGCTCTTGAGGGAAAGCGGCCAGGAGTCCATGGGACCAGAGCGCTCAGTCAGCAGGATGCTGGGACCCGCCTCTGCTGCTGCGAACGGAAGCTTTGG